TCATTTGGACTGCATATGCATAATTGCATCTAGAAATTAGGCAAAAAATTGCTTTAAGTAATGAAACTTATAAACTAGTTGTGGATAGTCATAGAACTCGCAGCAGGTGATTGTGTACGACTTGAGAGGTTCCCACTAAGAACTGTGAAAAATCTTCATGCACGGTGAACATGTCCCTATCATGTCATTAGGTGTATTGGACCAAATGCTTATGAACTAGATCTGCCAAATGAGATGGGTATAAACCCAGATTTCAATATAGATTATCTAGTTTCCTATAATGAGTAAATGAATATAGCAGTTTTTGATGAAGCCACTCCACCTTCAGCCAACTAACCATCACCGCCTATTATGCCTTCTAATACAAGGCCACAACTAGATGTGATAGTGTAGATTTTGGATGAAGAGATTGTATTGATTGCCGACAGAGGATTTCAAAGATATTTGATTTGTTGGCATGGACATCCACCTTTAGAAGACTCTTGGCTCCAGATCGAAGAAAAGCTCAAAAGCTCAAACAAGAGTTGCTCGAGGAGTATAAGCTTCAACATTCATCAGAGGAGAATCTTTCCAAGCCGAGGAGAGTTGATAGGGATCCATATACCCGATTCTACTCCAGAAAGACTTGGCATCGTAGATCTCATTGAGATATCATCAGATTCCATTGAGTTTGAGATAATGGCTGATATTGCTTAGTTATTGTTAAGATAAGAATAAAGTTATTGATAGAATTGAGATTGTAAAGATTTGATTTGTTTAGAGATAAGCATTTACATGTTTTTAGATAAGATTTGATTTGTTTAGAGATAAAATTTGATTTGTTTTTAGATAAGATTTGAGTTATCTTCAACTCTCTATAAAAGGGATGAAACTTTTATGTAATAGGGAGTGCATTTTGAATGAGAATTATTGATTAAAGAGATTTCTAGAGTGGTTCCAATTGTGTTTTTAAGCCTCCCGTGAACAGTGTTGTGGACAACACCGTGAACAGTGTTGTGGACAACACCGTGAACAGCGACCCCCATGAATAGCGCCTCTTGAACAATGTCGTGAACAGTGTTGTTGTTCTTGTCATTGCAACCTCATTCACAAATTTGATCCCGACAGAATTCCACAGTGACATAGAACTACAAAACTCAGATCTAAGCTCTTATTCCTATTTAATTAGATTGCTTATATTGTGGTTAATTAGAACTGTTATATCATTGATCTTATATTGAACTAACCCTTTTATTTTAAAACCCTTTCGCAGGATCTAGCTATTAGGAATTCGACTCCAACGCTAAGCATTCAATTAGGATTTGTGGATTGTGCTCGACGTTTCATGCCTCAGGTTTATCGCGAACATTCCTTATTTGCTGTAGTTTTTGCATCATTTGTTACTATTAGTTGTTAGTTCATATTGTTTGATATTTAAAGTTACTTTCCGTTGCAATTTTAGTGAGTTTGCATTTACTCTGCATATTAGTTCATTTAATCACTTTTCCTAGAACTTGACAAATCGTGCTATGTCACAAAGTCAGCCCCATCTTGGGTTTAGACTAGATAGATTTCTAATATCTTCTGTTGGGATTCTAAGTTTCCTTGGTGGATCAAATTCTATTTAAACCTGAACTTGCCCCGATCAATCAACTAACTGGCAAGTGCACTAACAATAGATCTTTGTCGGTTGACTGATTCTACAACTGAAAATTATTTGTTGGTCGATCAAAATCTACGACCAAAACTATGAATGATTGAACTTCATATCAGTCAGTTTCAAGTCATAGAGAACACCCCAACCTTTCCAAAAACATGTTATAATAGTCATTCTGATGTAGAGTAAAAAGATGACTCGAGCAATTTCCAAAGCTTTTCAGCATTAATATAACCTGCACAGTTTAACTCAAAAGTCCTTTAATTATATACAAATACTTGTTCTTGATCAAACCGGCTTAAATGCTCGGATAAGGTCATAAATTTAGTCACCACAACCTAATGAAATAACTGAGGGAGCGTTTGGCAATCGTGGCGTTTTTGTCGTTTCTGTTTTTTCTTCAACAAAAACAAAGAAACGCGTTTGGCAATCGGGGCGTTTTTTTAAACTTGTCGATTTGTAAAATCTGAAAATTAAACACTTTTCTCAAAACACCAAAAATGTGTTTTAAGATTCCGTTTTTTCATCTAAGCCGCCGTAGCCTGCTCGCCCCGCTGCTGCCCAGCCGCTACCCACCGCGCTAGATTTGCGCTACCGCCCCGCCACCCCCGCGCCACAGCTGTCCACCGTCCTAACGTTGGCAACCACGCGCACCGCGTTCGCCGTCTGGTCGTCGTGTCTCCGCACGTTGGCGCGGCCGCCCGTCGCGACTGCTCGTCGCCACCGTTAACCACCGCGTCGCTCCTCGGTCTGAGCCGGCCGCCACTACCACGGGTGGTTGTAAGTAAGTGGCCGCCGTCGGCCGACCACGCCCTTGCACACCGCCGACGCGGCCCACCGTATCGGCCCCGTCACCACCCGCTCGTAGCTCGGCCCACGCCGCATACCACCATGCTACGCTCCGGCCCTATCTGCACCGTCCGCCGCACTCCAGAACCGCGTCAGCAACATCACCTCTGTCGTCTGGGGTCCGGCGGCCACGCCTCACCATCATCACACGTCCCCGGTCAGCGTCGCCGCCGTCGGTCGCGCCGCGCCGGATCCCCGCCGGCTCCGCGCACCGTCGTCGGGCACCGGTCCACCGCGTCGCTGCCTGTCGTGCACCCTCCGTCGCCACCACCTGTCGTCGTGCCGGCCACGCACACCCGTCGGCCCCCGGCCTAACTGCCGGTCTCGTCGTCGGCGACCGCGCGGCCACTTGGTCGCTCACTCACTTATAGTCCGATAAATCGTCGTTCCCAGGATGGGTGCCGCCGCTTGTCGTCGGCCCACCCCTCCCGCCCAGCTCGCCCGTCCGCCCACTACCGCTATATAAATGGTCAAACTAGTTTAACTAAAATGGTGCTTTTAAAACATATTTAAAAAAGAAACACCATGGCATGGTGTTTTTTACAAAAACACATTGATTATCAAACATACCCTAAGCAAACAATTTATCATAGAAAAATATGGAAAGCATAAGAAGCATGTGCACGTATACTCCACACACGCCACAGGATGCAAACATAATGTCAACAACATGCCGAATTCTTAAAATGTAAAATGCGTGGCATAGAACCATATGGATAGTACTTCAATGTATTTGTATATAATGGACAACAACATGCCGAATTCTTAAACATGATGTCAACAACACATCTAGCGAGAAGGTAGGAAAGTAGAATGAAAAGAATTCACTAGTTTAAAATACATACTTCTTTTAATCAAGTAACTAACCAAACAAGCAAAATCTGAAAATTCTAAAAATTACATCATATTATACAAGCTTATGGTGCTTGATGGCAAAGATAGGTGGTGTACGAGGGCATGATCTCCCATTTTTCCTCTCTCTAAATATGTGTCATGTGTATGTATGCATGCATGCATGTGTTTGGGCGCGTGTGCATAAGCCTAATAAGTAGCTAATCAAACAAGTAAAATCTGAAAGTTCTACAAAATACATCATATTTGACAAGCTTATAGTGTCTGATGGTAAAATTAGCTGGAGTACGGGGGCATGGCCTCCCAGTTCCCCCCCCTCTATATTAATGTGTATGTATGCATGTGTCTGCACGCATGTGTGTATATAGGCCTAAGAAGTTGCCCTTACCAACAAAGTGTCTACCCTTAATTAGTGAGGTTCTTAATTAGGCTAGTTATTAGCCAAAAATTCTAAATGACTATTAGCATTCAAGTAACATTCCTCTTCTATGAGGGAGTTCCGTAGTTTATGGGTGTTTTTTCAGCGTTGGACTAATTAATAACTAGGTCTCACAAAATTAAGTGTCATTTTTTATTTTATGAGAACAATTAATCATATTTTTAATATTAAGCTAATCTAAATAATTCCTAATACTGATATGAGGACACTCTGATTAGATTTTAGATAGTACAATGATGCTTTCACCCCATTCTCGCCCCTCCCCCCCCCCAACAAAAAAAAACCTCGCAACATTAATATTCAGGGTGATCTCTCAATGAAATTTATGAATTAATCGATCTCCAAAGGCCGCCTTCATCCAAAATTAGTCTTTATAAATAAATTGTCATAAACTTAAAACCACTTCCGTGACAGCATTTTTACCACGAAATTTTATTTTCTAAGGAATAAATATATTATATGAGATATTATAGAAAACTTAGTAATGGGAGCTGAGGGGGTTATACTATTGACAGGTACCACCATAAACAATGCAAAGGGAATCAACTAGCCAAACATTCTAGTCTGGCCTGAAGGTGATGAGAGTGCCACAACACAACAATGCAAAGGGAATCAACTAGCCAAACATTCTAGTCTGGCCTGAAGGTGATGAGAGTGCCACAACAAGAATAAAATGAAGGAGAACCCCGGGCAAAAGAATGTTCCAAATGGTGGTAGACATCCTCAAGAAATTTCTCATGCCATGAGAAGGACATGATAGAAGTGATTAGGATAACACAAAAGGTAGCAGAAAAGTAAGGTTGGCATTGTAATAAAGACAATAGAATAGAAGGTGCAAGGGGAAGAGATCATCATTCTCCTTATGATTCTTTTATTCTTTCTGATTTTTTAACATTATCACTTCTTCCATTATGCCAACAAAGGAAATCATTTTTTAAGGGGAAAGCAAGGGAAATAAATTTGTTGATTCTTTACCTCATTTTAGTTGGGGCCTACGAAAGTTCAAACATACTCTCCATGAATCCTCTCATCAAGAAATCGGTCAGAAAAGTAATCATACACATACAATGTGCTCTTCAAAAGCAAACTATCACTAATCACAATTATAGAGATTGAACTATATCAACTGCGATGAACAATTTGATAGCACATATGAAGCTTATTAACAAAAAAGATGGGAAGCAGCTGTAAATAATAATAATAAAACCTGAAGGACAAGCTTACCAAGTTATGGTATAATTTCGATGATCTTGTGGCATTACTGAAAACTGGATTAAGGTGTTAACATCTTTAGGAACAGGATAGGGATTAGTTGCACTAGCATTTTCATTTATGTCTTCAATATATAAAGTATCCTCTGGAAGACCGCAAGCACGAGCAATCATCGGAACATCAACATAAAACCACTGACCAGTTTTAGGATCATTTTCAGGAACGAAAATGCTTGGTTTCTCACTTTCACGAGCTACTCCAATAACTCTAACAGGAGGAATATTAGGCTCATTCTCCTGCATGTTTGAAGAAGCAATGTTACAATGCGAGGGAATTGATCAGCACATGGAATAAAGCTTTTAGAATGCTAAAGATTGAAATATTTTCATGTGCCGTCATAAAAACATAATTAGCAGACAATACAGATTGAACAGCACAAATCAACGACCACATGCATGGACATCCAAGTAAACAATCATAGGTTTGTGTGCTACTATAAAATAATAACTAGTCATTTACAGTTACAAGTAAATTCAAGGCGTTTTCCATCATAATTTACTCGTATCTTCTCAGACAATATGGTTAAATGTACGATCTTTAAAGCATCAATTGCAGAAGGATGATGCACCTCTAAAATGCACTCTAGGTATACTATATCTATGTAGCAACTTCTGCAGATAAATTTATTATGAAAAATTATGTCCTGAAATACAAATAAGAAGAATTGATGCTCTGTGTGTCAGCAAATTTTTATTATGTGTTCATGCAATTTAAATAGAACTAAGGCTACAGATTTAAACTACATTCCGTGCACCAATAACCAAAATCCTCTGAATAATATGCATGTCAACAACATCTTCTTTTATATGACATGAAACCACCATAAACATCCATGGGATTACTGAGCTATCTGTATTATTTATGTTGTTTCAGATATGTTGTTTCACAAAAATATGAGCAATCAGAAAGCATAGAATTGGCAGTCATCTCAATTAAAAGGTGATGTCAGCTCACCTTATCAACTTTAGATAGCTTAGCCCAAAACTTCCACCAAAGCGTTTCCTTGTTTGGCTGAACCTCTGCTGCTCTTGATGCTGAAGAATGGCCATCTGAATCATTTATAGGCTTGTCGCGCCAACCACGAGGAACCCATCCTCTGTTAACAAGGATAGGTAGCTGCACACTGACAGGAGATTTCTTAAGAAAGTAGATAAGTGGACAAGAAGATAATTAATTGGGGAACTAAGTAGGCTACCCATAATCATACCAAAAAAGGGAATGTTCGTATAACTAACTAAACGAAAACCACTTAATTGAGCTTAATGCAAACAGCATATTTTTACTACTCAGCACTGTTTAATTCATATGATAAACTGGATGTTCTTTTTCACTACATTCCAGAAATGAAAGATATTATATCGAGGTTTCTAAGGGTGTTCGAGGTAAGAAAGTCAAGAGTGACGCAAAGAGATGTTACACCAAAGATCATCTTTGACAGACTACCGTTCTCAATTTATTTTCTTCATCAAGTCAATGCACTTCAGAATTATTTTAAGTGAAAACATGCCCAATAATCAAAGTTCATATTTATAAACTTCATCTATGGGAAGGAATAAGCAGTGAGTATTCAAGAATTTTCCAAATCAAAACTTAATGACTGTTATTTCATGTGACGTGTGTGCTTAGAAAGACCACACTAAAAGTGCAAGGCAAATATTCACAGAAATTTAGGAAATATGAAATGTGCAGAAGTTTCAATAGTGACCTAGAAGTTGGCAGTAATTATATGGATTACTGGCACTGTGTGTTATTCTTCAAATTTCATGGTGTTGGTTATATTAATAGAACTAGAGCACTTTGTTTAAGGTGCTTATGACATGACCTCTCTAAAGAAATGTTGACAGTGAATTTATACTTCTGCGGTCTACCTCAGTGTTCAAGCGATAGGCTTTTCCAAGACTAAATGTTTAATCTAAGAATTGTCTAGTAGCTGGAAGTAAGAGGGACCTGCAGGTTATAAGGGAGAAAATACAAGCATTTAATTCCTAAGGCTTGTGATAAAGGGCCACAATGATTAACAACAGATAAATAACTACCTACCAATACAACACGAGCAATTTACATTCCCATAAAGAATACCTGTTATTGTCATCATATGTCTTTGGAATTAAAGGAGTAATAATGTAATATCCATTCTCCGTCACTCCAGAGATGCTTCTAGATCGAGGACCAACATAAATGGACTTTCCCTCATCAAAATACCCCTCGCAAAAGACCCTTCTGAATTCCAAAGAATCCGAATTGTATTTTGAAGATGTATACTCTTTGTTCCACACTATGGGTTCCATCTCTAATCTCTTCCTCCTATATTCCAACATCTCCACCTGAAACAAAGAACACATAAAGCAAATCGTGACAAATTGCTATCAAGAATCGACTTTTTTGAAAAGTAAAACTGATCTAATACCTTCTCCTGCCTTCGGAGAATCTGCCAGGTTCCTAGCCCAAAGGTGATAGCGCCAGGTACAAATAGGAGAGATCTCGACCATTTTGCCCTTTCCTTATCTGCAAATGAAATAAAAACATTAGTCGAAAATTTAAGAGAGAGAGAGAGAGAGCGCGCAACAGACCTTGAGCCTGAGATGCGGCGGTCTGCGATGGCGGGAGAGTTGATTCGGCGGGGCTGTTTGTTTTGCTCAAAAAAATGAGAAATGTCCCGCCACCTCACCTTTCAAGAAAACTCCCATGTGCCACATAGGTTTTTGATTTCAAGAGGTTTCCATTTCATGTGTTTGCTTCGTCTTTAATTTTCAAGAAATGAAGTGCCACATGTGCTGCCACCTCAATTTTTCAAGAAATGTGTTTTCAGCCCAATTTGGGCTGAAAACACTTGGAAATGTCCCATCGGAGAATAGTTAATTAATAAAAGCACTGTTTGAATAGTTCAAAAGAATAAAATGAAATATTTAAATGCCACATTTCTCATTTCCTTTTTCTTGTTCTCAAACAAACACAAGAAATAGAAATCAAAGCACTGTTACTATGGAGGCTTTTTTTGTCTTTTTGTATGACTTGGCTTTGAAAATGAATCTTTTCTTTGCGAAACAAATAAAAGAAATGAAAACTAAGAAATGTCTTGAAATGTCTTGAAATCATTTCAAGAGCTACATTTCCATTTCCGATTTTTTTCGGAAAACAACCAAACAGCCCTAAGCTTAAATTTCCAGAGGACAAACTTCTAAAAACTACCATTTTTCAAAATTATTATAACAAGTAAAATCGACCATTTATTAAAAAAAATCAGTAAAATCAATCATTTTCAGTGAAAAAGGTCAATTTTGTGGTTTTTGAACTGTACGGAACTATTATTCCCGTACAGTTCTCCCAAAAACCCCCAATCTCAAAAGGCGTCTCTCTCCCCTCATCTTCCTCCTCCTCACATCGGTCTCCACGCGCGCGAGTCCAGACCCGACCAAGGGAGCGAGCCATTTAGTCGGCGTCATCAGCACCGACGTCTCCGACCTCCCCCCCCGGATGACCTGGCCCGCTACTGTAAAACCCTAAAAATTTATGTTAATATGAGATTAATTATGATTTATGGATATTTATTTTGATAAATACAGTTAAATGGTATGTGAGTAGTATACCATGTGTTTTGAGTATAAACAAGTTCATTCATGAGAAAGAAAAGAGTTAAAACATGCACAAGGCCAAAGATGTGTAACTAAAAATGTAATGACCGTGGATTTTGATACTAGTTAAAATAATTTTTTCGGTATTTTAAAATATTTAATTATTATTTTTAAAAGAGTATTTGTATTTTTCTTGATTTTTTATAATTTTCTATGATTTAAAAATCTGATTATATATTTATTTAAATGATTTTGATATTTATAAATTTATTTTATGCGGTAAAAAATTTCTAGAATTAATTTGTTGTGTTATCGGTACTATTATATATTATTTTAAATAATATGTTGTGCTATTAATATTATTACGTAATATTTCGTATAATACCTTGTATTATTCTATTAATATTATTACGTAATATTTCGTATAATACCTTGTATTATTAATTACATATTATTTGTATAATTAGTTGTATTATTTCTACTGTTACATATTATCTGTCGTATTAGTACAACTGGTACGTTTTACTGTGTACGTAATTATCCCATAATTATTTGATTTTAAATTTAAGTAAAAATATATTTATTTATTAATTATTTTTGTTTAATTGTACAATATGGGTATATTTCGACTATTTCATAACAACTGTTGTATTAGCACCACATGTACGTTTTTACTTGTAGATAATTATCCCATATTTATTTTGATTTTTAAATATCATTAGTTATTTTTTAATTAATTTTGTTTTAACTTAATTAACCCTAACCCTAATATATTATATATATATATATATATTATTATATATATATATATTATATATATATATATATATATATATATATATATATATATATATATATATATATATTATATTATATATATATATATATAATATATATATTAATATATATATATATATATAGTATATATATATTATATATGTTATATCATCTTTCTCTTTCTCCTCTCTCTCGTATCCAGTCCGCCGGGCACCCATCTTCTCTCCACCCCGACCACGACCCTCACCCGCCGCCTGACCACCGTCCCTCAGCTGACCTCGCGACTCGCCCCGCCACCCGCCCTCCCCTCCCTTCGCCGTGACCATCACCTGCCCTCTATCATTCTGCCGACGACCGCCACGCCAGCTCTCCACCTCCGACTCGCCAGAACCTCCGACGCAGTCACCAACTGCCTCCCTCTGAACTCCGCCAGGCCGCAGCAGCGTCGGCCTGTCCGCCTTCGTCTGTGGCTGCGTCGCCACCCAACCCCACCGCCTTGGCCTCCTCGCGCCTCCTAGATCCGCCGCTCCTCTGCTGCCTGAATCGTGAGTCGTTACACCCCCACAGCTGCGCCTTGCCGTCGGCCCCGAGCCCAAGCTCCGACCAGGCACACTCGCTTGAGCAGGCCGCCTCCGCCCAGCTGCAGCAGCCCTCACTCCCGTCGCTGCCTTCCTCAGGTTCCCTCCGTTCGATCAAGCCAGCACACATCGCCACCCTCCGATCAGTCCCCCAACAGTCACGCCCGCACCTCTCCTCCCTCCGCGGTCAGCGACGGACCCGCCAGCGAGCAGCTTGAAGCATGTCACCGGAGATCCCGTAGCCCTCGCCGGAGCCTCTTTCCCTGGACGTCGTGCCTCGCATCGGATCCGACCCGCGCCGCCGACGTCGATTTGTTGGACGAAAACCCACCGAGGAAAGATCTCGATACTCTCTTGACTTGTCATTCAATTCTTAGATCCGCTGTGAATTAATTAGTTGCTTGCAAGATCTCGTTACTCAGCTTGTCGTTCTTTACATTTCAGATCTATTATGAGTTGTCTGTATAAATTAGTTGTAATATAATTACCTGCGTGAATTGTTTGATGAAGAATATTAAAATATATTATAGTATTATGATAAATAGAATTTTCAGAATAATTATAAGGAATTAAAAGAGTTTAGTTCGGCAAAAGAATCATTTTTTAGATAATTATAATAATTTAAAAGAATTTTATTTTGGAAAATGAATTAGTTTAGATTAATTGTTAAGCGAAATAATTTAAAATAAATTAATTTTAGAAAAAGATTATTTTCTGAATTATGTAGATGATGTTTATGATTTATAATTTTTATTTTGATTATCTGATATGCTATGATATTATTGTACATTATTAGTTGCATTGATTGTTCCATGTTGTGATTGAGAATTATTAGGAGTTTATGATTATAGTGACACGTATGGCACAGTTAGGATCTAGAATCTCGTGTGTAGTTGACCTGAAATTACGAGAATTAGAATGAGAAGTTTTGGTCCATGTGAGCGGTTGGGATTGTTGATGTATTTTCCAGACTCGCGCCGGTGAAGTTTGTGTAGTCACCAGGGTGGTCTGATGAGTTAGATGTTTGTGTATTACGGGCTCGCGTCGGTGAAGTTTATGTAGTCACCGGGGTGGGTCTGATGAGTTGAGATGTTTGTGTATTCCGGGCTTGCGTCGGTGAAGTTTGTGTAGTCACCAGGGTGGGTCTGAGGAGCAGTGATATTGAGATTGTTGATTATTTGAGATGAGTGATGGGATAGTTAGTTACATGACCTCGATTATTGGCTAAGTATGATTCTTGTGAGATGTAGGCCGGTTGTACTTATTTTCACACATAGACCGGGATTAATATTTAAGTATCTACAATTTAAGACATATGGTATATACATGAGGGATTCCTTGTTTGGATTATTTCGCTCGACGTACTACGTCTCTTGTTGTAGATTTTTAAGTATTAATTTCATCTATTGTATGAACTTGTTGCTTGGATGATTAGTCTGATCGCTAGCTGCATGATCTCGTTACCTGATCGATTTTGGATGCTTTATGTTATCATGATTTAGTAGTGTTTTCATGTTGATTTGTGGATTTTAGTTGTACGTTCTTTTGTTGTTTCTGTTATCGTATCTTTTTTCGCATTGAATTTCTGTTCGTTCTATTTTCTTTGTAGGGTCGGGTCTTGCCGTGTGCATACACGCTGACGTACACCTGTTTTCTTTGGTGTACGTCAGACTTAGAGGAAGAACAGGTTCAGCTTGGAGATGCGCCAGAGCCGAGTATTCTCAGCAGGAGTGTCTTGTAGACGGAGCAGAAGAAAGAGTCAAAGCCTAATCTTTGATAGTTCAGTTTACTTTTATAGTTCTTTCTTTTTTTATTGATCAATGTATTTTGTATCTCTTCAGTATTCATTGGTTCAGTTTTGTATAAGGGCATGTTGACCCGAATATATATTATGTCTGGGATGAATATTCATTGTGATATGTATTATTTTATTCTGTGTTGTTCATTATATTCTTGCTGATTGTGATCGGGGACCTATGCCTTTGCATTGTATCTATTTCCAGATGCTTAGCGCATTGGATTGAGAAGAAAAAGAAAAAAAATAATAGTGTATATTTCTTCTCAATCTAATACGTCACGGGCTTGTTCACGTTCCGATTCCTAGGTATTTTTGGAAGCGGGGCATGACAGAAAAATTTCAGTTCAGTCGACCGTCACGGTCGACCGCCAAGGTCGACTGCGAAACCTACAGAAGTCAGATTCCTGTTTTGAGTTGGTTTTGGCTTTCTAAAGCCCATATTCGTTTTCCTTGGTTTATATATCAAACTTTCACGAATTTTCTCAGTTTTCTAAGAACCCTAACAGCCACCAAACCCCCACAAACCCTAATTTGATTCTTGGAAAATATTGGAGGCTTTCAAGTGGATTTTTCGGGTGATTTTGGCTTTTGGATTGGAGATCTGGTTTGGCTTGACATCCTAAAATATTTTTCTACAAGTTTCAGGAGAGTTCATCTCTGCTAATCCCCCTCCTAGTTTTAAAAATATTTTTTTGAAGAATTTTTAACATGTTTCATAGAGCCAAATTAACTAGTTTATGAATAAAAGTTAATTCTTTTATATTTTATATATAAAGACTAGGTCTTTTCATGTTAAAAATTTGAGAAGGAATTTACAGAAGTATGTAAGATCTGAAAATGATTTAAAACGTGGTTTAATCTGAAGAAAGATGATTTGTTCTTCGTTTCGAGTTTTTATGCATGACTTAGGGTTTTCAATATAAAGTTTATGTAAATAATCATGCTATATATGTTGAGTTTGTTTACAGAAGTTTTTATCTACTGTAGACATGCTCTCATGCAAGTTTTATATTGTTTTAATCATGTTTGAATCACCTAAACACGGCATGAACACGACACACGCAACCAGGTTGAGAATCTGGAATATCAGCCCACGGTCGACCGCGACATAGCAGCGGTCGACCGCGTGCAGGACAGAGGCCTGAGTAGGCTCTGGAACCCGTCGCGGTCGACCGCCGTTCTTGTGTAGTCGACCGCCACACAGTCTGTGGCCCTATGCATGTTTTGTTCGACTGTTGAGTTTTCGAGCTAGTCTCTCGACCTTGTACTGATATGATAAAGTGTTTATGAGTTGTTTAACATCTGAAATATCAGTATACACCAGATATGGACACGTACACCAAGATATATACATGTATGTTTAAAATATGATGTGTTAGCATGATAAATAAGAAAAATACACAAATATTATATTTCCGGAATAGGGAGATGAAACATATTTCCGCAGGGCGATTGAGTAGGAGTATCAAAAGTATCGTCATATTATGTTTCCGGGTAGGGAGATAAAACCTATTATCGTAGAGCGATTGAGTAAGAATATTACAAGAGTATCGCTAATGTATAAGAGATGCACATTTGTAAGTAATATAAATTATAAATTGGTTTTCCTTTTTTTTGAATACCCACGAGTAGGGTGCTTTCTCTGAAACCGTTACTTACACAACATGGTTTTTGGTTGGCTTTTATTTGGATGAGTTCCTTTTATGTTAGATCCATCTACCCGAGTGTAGATCAGGATGAGATATCTGTTCTACATGTTTGAGGTTTGGAGTGTTTTCCTTTTGGTTTATTGTTTTCATTCATAGGGTTTGGAGTTAGTATTTAGGGAGTCATAATTTGAGACATGGTATATACATGAGAGTTTCCTTGTTTGGATTATTTCGCTTGACGTACTAACTCTCGTGTTGGGATTTCCTAAATATTAACTTTTAGTTAGAATTTTATGAATGATTTCATATGTATATGTACTAACTCTATTTTCTATATACTTCTACCCCTTTCCTTGGTGAGAGGTGGAGATGATCTCGCTATAGCGCATTGACGCTCATTGTTTTTCCCCCTTTCAGGCAGTGAGTCCAACACACGGAGAGTCGCAGGTTAATGAGATTTCTGCATAGATCTCACCTAGCTATTTATTATGCAGTAGTTAGTCAGAACTTCACAGTTAGTTGATTATGTTTAGACTCTAGACTTGTAATTTATTGTGTAGAGGCTGAGAGCCATAGTGATATTTTATTTAACTCTTTATATTTGAGGTTTATTTCAGACTCAGAGATACTTCTATTCTATTTTTGTTGGGCTCATTGATGACTATTCTCTTATTTGCTTCTGTTGTTCTATTTCTTTTATTTGCCTGTCAGTACATTCAACTATTTATTGTTTCCACTAGAGAGATAGTTACTGTGATGGTGAAACATGTCGTTGCATGGTGTTTGGTGCTTGGCAGGTTTGACAATCCGGGTTTCGCCTTGGACTGCAGCATCGTGTGAAACCTGGGGTGTCACAGCTACGTCCGCTCCCAGCGGATAACCCACGTTCGCTTCTACGACACCACCCCCTCCCTCCTCTCTCTCCATCTCAAACCGCTCATAGGCGTCCGTTCCTCGTATCTCTAAACTCCCAGCTTCTTGCCCCTTGCGGCTCCTCCCCTCCTCCGCTTCCTCGCATGGGTCTCCTGCCATGTCGCCCCCGTTTGTTCCTGTTCGCGGGAAAATAGGTAATTCTTTCATGATGATGTCACATTGCACTCTTTGGTAACAGTTTATCGGTTACAGAAAGATCCGGTCTTTTTATAAGATCCGGTTACAACGAAAATCAAATAAAAAGAAATGAAAAATTACAACTTTGTTTCCTTTTGTTTGTCGCAAATCACGAGCTCCTGTTTTGCGGTCGCTCGCTTTTGTGGGTTCTTTGCCTGCGCCGGGGTTAATCCGTGGACCACCGCGCGATCTAGATCCGGTCGGATCTACGCAGTACGACAGGTATTATTTCACGAAGGAAATAATAGCCGGGGAGGATTATTTCACCAAGTAAACAATCGTCCAAATCTCGGGATCAAAGGCCAAGCTTTGATCCGGAGTACGCCTGCGTAGATCTGAGATCTGATCTCTCTCAACTCTTGCCTTATTTGGCGTTGACGATCGCGTACACCATACCACCTAATGTCCTCCCGATCAGTCCATAGCTGGATCTTTTTAAGTTCTGGTCTCGAACCAGCAGGGCTTTCGGCCTCTCCATATCTTAACTCCATACCTCTTGAAATGAACGCAACGGGAGCCTATTTAAGGCTCTCTGCAACTTGTGCCGCGGGCCACAAATCTGGCCGGCCACCT